CAGCCCAAGTGTCCATCAACTGATGAATGAATAAAGAAGATGTGATATATATCTGTATCTATAGGAATATCATTCAGGATATTGCCCTTTGTGATGACATGGATGGAGCTAGAGAGTATATATAATGCTAAGTGAAATAAGTCAGTTGGAGAAAGACAAATACCATAGGATTTCACTCGTATGTCGAATTTTAGAAACAAAACAAGCAAAGGGGAAAAATGAGAGAGAAAAAGCAAGAAACAGACTCTATTATAGAGAACAAGCTGGCGATTACCAGAGGGGGTGTGGGGGATGGGTTAAATAGGCGAAGGGGATTAAGGTGATGATCACTTGCCATGATGAGCACAGGGTGATGTATGGAACTGTTGAATTAACTCTATTGTACACCTGAAACTAATATAACACTGTATGTTAATTTACTGGAATTAAAATTAAAAATTAAAAAAAGTGTAGCTAATTATCCTTTTGTTTATAATAAAATGTGTAGCAAGTCTGTGGATTATTAATGGTTGCCAGATCAAACCCCTTGCCTTAAGGTGAGACTCCACGCTAACAAGAGCTTTGCTTTTCTTTCTCCAAATCTAGTCAAGAGATAGGATTCACTGGCTTCCCTTTTCAAAGCATTCTGGTCATGAGGTTCTTTTTAAGTTATGATTTCCATTTCCTGTGAGATATGTAAGACAGAGGTTTTTATTGTCATTTTATTAGGTGGGAAACTAAAACTCAGAAAAATTAAAATGAATTTTCCTAGGATTTTTCATAACTAATAAGTAATTAGAATCCAAATCTTGATTTATTGTCTAATATGCTTAGCCTGTTAGCATGTTCTGTTTTTCAGTCATAAGCCATGGTTCTCTGAATTTATTTTCATATTTATCCCAAGAAGTTAGTCATTTAACTGGAATTCTTTTTACTCAGTGATTGTCTTTAGGTCATATTGCTGACAATTTAGGTGGAGAATAGATTAACTTATTTACCCTTTGTAAAGACAGTTTTGAGCCTTGCAGTTTTACAACTGTTGTTGGTTAACATATTAGGAGGAAAATCAAATTTATGGGTTAAGCAATTAACTTTATTGAGTGGCATGAACAATTCTAATAAAGCTAGTATAATTAATGTCTTAATCATAATGGTGCTGAATTCTTTGATCATGTATCTTTATAACATCTGCTAAGGGGTATATGTTTTGTAGTGTTGATTCTAAGACATGTTTATTAAAAGATAAAGTGTAATAAATTGATTCCTCTAGTACAATTTTTACTTGAAAGAGCTGTAAAACTATTTTTTATACCAAACATTCTAAAGGGGTTTTTATTTAATAGCAACTTATTTTTTCTAATATTTTCATAATTTTTGCTTTTACAGTCAGATGCTGGAATTTTTCCCAATAGATTTTACAGTCTAACAGTTTTTTTTAATGAAAGGGAATAATTTTTGTGATCCAGAAATGTGATTTCACTGAAAGCAAAATATTTTTAGTATGGCTTTGAATTGTATAACCTTCAAGCAGAATTTTTGGTATTAATCTTATGTCTGTCATGCTCTTTCCTTTGAACTGACTTTATCATTGTTTACAGAGAGGCACAAGCAGCCACTTCCAGGAATGGAGGTAGTGATTTAAAATATTAAATTTGTATATTTAAAGACCTTTCAAATCTGAAAATTTACAGCAGTTTTGAGTCCATTTTATGCTGAATATTAAGGCCTTTTTTTTTAATATAATCACTCCTCACTGTCTTGTTACTGTAGCTTTTCCCTACAAACAATGGCAAGTGTTAAAATTGTTACATTGCAAATTTTCCAGGGAGAAAAAGTTTCAAGAGTTGCCTTTTTAAAAGTAATCCAGGAATATTGCCAAAGTCTCATTTTAATTCCATTTTCTCTTGTAGTATTTAGATTTTTATTGTTATATTATGCTTCTAGTCTTACTAGTCAGAATGATTAGAGACCGTAATATTGCCTGAATAATGAGAATATTTGGTAGGAAAACTGCTTGACAGGTATTCTTACCATCAATTTTGTTGTCATTTTATTGTTGGTAATTTCAGAAGATTATTTTTGAATATCAGAATAAATTCTGTAAACACGAAATTATATTGTTTTGCTTTCTAATGTCATCCAGAGTATGTAATATGTATACGGAGGAAATATTTTTAGACATGTAATTCCTTAAAGCCTTTGTAATAATACAGACATTTCCTTTAAGTTTAAAGATAAATAGTGGAAAGCTTCCCACAAACTGTTAAATAAAGACTGTGCCCTTGTAGGTGGCCCCAGAAGAATTTAAGACCAGCATTGGCCGAGTGAATGCATGTTTGAAAAAGGCTCTCCCAGTCAATGTGAAATGGCTGCTCTGTGGTTGTCTCTGCTGCTGTTGCACACTGGGTTGCAGCCTGTGGCCTGTTATTTGTCTCAACAAAAGAGTAAGTAACCATTTTATTGTGTAACCATAAGAGCTAACATTTATTGAACACTTGTATATGCCAAGTACTTTATATGATTTTTTAAATTCTCATAACAGAACTGAGAGCAAACTGAGGGTTGATGGGGGGTGGGAGGGAGGAGAGGGTGGGTGATGGGTATTGAGGAGGGCACCTTTTGGGATGAGCACTGGGTGTTGTATGGAAACCAATTTGACAATAAATTTCATATATAAATAAAAAAAAATTCTCATAACAGTGCTATCCTGATTCAAGAGGCAGACTTGGGGACAGAGCTAAAGTCATTTGCCCAGCCTTTATTAACACTTTGTTAGTTAATATGAATTCCCACTATTTTAAATAAGTGAAATATAAATGGAGTACAGGAGTAAATACAAATGTAACTAGGCTACTTTCTCCTTTTACAAAACCCAAAGCTGTGATTTGAAGTATTTCTAAGCTACAAATAGGAGATCGTGTCTTCAGATCTAAGGAAAAGCAAAAGTGAGAGTCACTCTACAAAGCTGGGAGGAGATCCCGCTTAGTTTTGAACATGTTGAAATAACATTATAACAAGACATTACTAGTTACATCATGGATTTAAGACTAATATCTTATTTCATCTTCTTTAGAACTTTAATTTTGTCTTCAGAATGTTTTTATTTTCAGTGGAAAGAAGGAAGCCACCCTGGACCACATTGATGACTTCATTTAAACTTTTAAATAATAATTAGCCTACTGAACCATCTTCAAAATTACAGCACCTTGTACAGCTATAATTAATGAATGATACAGTTGTTTCATAAAGGCCAAAAATGTTAACAGTATTTTTTCTTCTCCATTCTTTCTCCTGCCCTTCTTAATGTGTACTTCAAAAAGGAAAATAATGAAACACTGCCATCCCTATGACTTTTTGAATGGAAAAGTTAAACATTTTATTGATTCTTAAGTACCAGTAGGTCAGAGCTTAACTTTAAGTAAAGCTTAGTTTATTGTTTGTCAAAGCATGTACTGTATTTTCAAATGGCTTTCTAGAAGTTAAAAAAATTGACAACATAAATTTGTTTCCCTAATTGTCATATCTTTTAACAATTACAAAATAGTGATTCCTGTCCATTCCCATTATTTTAAAGCCTCAGTGTGAATTAATTATGATTTAGATTTTCTATCACACAAATACAGCTAATTTTAATTACTTAAGAACAGATTTTTTTGGTTTTAATATTATTCAGGATCTATCTTTCTTACTGATGACCTTACTCTTGGCCTGTTTATTGATACTTTCGCCACAGGTCCTGAAATAGAAGCATTTTTTTCAGTCATGTGGCTTTACTTTGAGAACTTTTGATAGTTCAGTGGAAAGTGAGATATTCAATGGAAAGTGAGATTAATACTGATGCTGTGATTTCACCCTAGCCCCCATTACTTTGGTTAATTAATTATTCATATTGAAGTTGAGGTGTCAGTGCACAGATCTTCCTCAACTTACAGTGGGGTTACATCCAGATAAATTCATCAGAAGAAAATATCATAAGTGGAAAATGCATTTAATACACATAATACACATTTAATACACATAACCTACCAACCAACAATCTAGGCTAGATTAACCTAGCCTACTTAAGTGTGTTCACAACACTTACATTAGCCTGTAGTTGGGCAAAATCATCTAATACAAAGCATATTTTATAATGAAGTGTTAAGTAGCTTATATAATTTATTGAATACTGTACTGAAAGTGAAAAACAGAATAGTTGCATGGGTACAGAATGGTGGTAAGGGTATCAGTTGTTTATCCTCGTGATGACATGGCTGACTGGGAGCTGTGGTTTGTTTCCACTGTCCAGCACTACAAGAGAGTATAATACTGCATATTACTAGCCCAGGAAAAGATCAAAATTCAAAATTTGAAGTATGGTTTCTACTGAATGTTTACAGTTTTCACACCTTCAGGAAGTTGAAACATAGTAAGTATAACCATTGTTGGTCAGGGACCATCTGTATTCTTAGACCACTAATCTGTCAGTTTAAAAACATTTATTTAGTACAGATTTTCAAACTGTCATCCTGCGGGCCAAATCTGGACCATTCTGTTTTTTAAACATTTGAATCAGTTGCCAACATTTAAAAATTGGAATATTTAGGGTCACCTGGGTGGCTCAGTCGGTTGAGCGTCCAACTTCAGCTCAGGTCATGATCTCATAGCTCATGGTTTCAAGCCCTGCATCAGGCTCCGTGCTGACAGCTTAGAGCCTGGAGCCTGCTTTGGATTCTGTGTCTCCCCCTCTCTCTGCCCCTAACGCACTTGCATTCTGTCTCTGTCTCTCTCAAAAATAAATAAATGTTTAAAAAAAATTTTTTAATTGGAATATTTAGGGGCACCTGGGTGGCTCAGTTGGTTAAGCACCTGACTTTGGCTCAGGTCATGATCTCATGGCTCATGAGTTCAAGCCCCCCGTCAGGCTCTCTGCTGTCAGCTCAGAGCCTAGAGCCTGCTTTGGATATGTCTCTGTCTCTCTCTGCCCCTCCCCCACTGGTTCTCTCTCTCTCTCTCTCTCTCTCTCTCTCTCTCTCTCTTACCCTGTCTCTCTCTCTCTTTCAAAAATAAAAAATAAACATTAAAAAAATTAAAATAAAATTTCAGATAGCCAGCCTCTTTTTTTAAGATCTAAAGATCTGACCAGTTGGACCCACATGCCTATATTTCAGCAGTTGGCCCTAGCTGAGTGTTGGTTTCTGCCTTTAAATAGGGCATGAGGTCTCCGATTCACCACAGAACCACCTGGCATTTATATTATCTGCCTTGCTCTCTACAGTTTATAGTTACAGCCCTTGATTTTGTACATGATGTGTTGTTAACACACTAGAAAAAACACTACACACATGTTGGTAACCTTGTGCAAGATACTGCCCTTTCTAGAGCCTCAGTTTCCTTACCTGCAAAATTGGGATAATATTACTTAATTTTAAGATAGTGTGATGATAAAGAAATTTAAGGTGCCCCACTGCTTTTGTGTCCACAGGGAGACATTTTTAAAAATAAAATAACAATAATTTAAGAACTTTTATGCTTTCACTACTGATTCCTGATCTGTAAACTAAGTTGTATAGACTCTAATAGTTTAATTGTAAAGATGATTAGCATTCATTTGCCCAAATCCCTTATTTTACAGGTGTGGAAGCAGATCCAGAGAGATGAAGTGACTTTCTCAGTGTCACATAGTAAATGGCACACCCAAAAAAATATTTTTTTCTGTTTGGTTTCTGTCTCTTGTAACACTGTATTTTCTTGACTGCATCATGTTTCCTAGGTCATATTTCCTATTGCTGGGACAAGAAACATTAGGATAAGTGGTATAATAAATAGCCCACTGAGTTTTAATTCTTTAGCAGGGGTTGGCAAACATTTTCTTAAAGGACCAAATAGTAAATACTTTAAGCTTTGTGGGCCAGAAGTCTCTGTTGCAATTACCCAGCTCTCCAGTTTTCATATGAAAGCAGCTATAAGCAATATGTAAATGAGTGAGCATTGCTGTATTCCAATAAAACTTTATTTACAAAAACTTGCAGCAGGCCAGATTTTGTGGGCTAGTTTGCCATCCTGCTCTAGCCAACTCTAATGGAGTATCTAGCTTTATGAAAGTCATGTCTGTGTTCATCCACAAAATAAAATGGAAATAATATAGTTACATTGCCCTATGTCACAAGGTTGCTTTGTAAACTGATTGTAAAATGTTTCCAAGAAAAAGGCCACCTGGATGGCCCAGTCAGTTAAGTGTCCAACTCTTGATTTCAACTCAGGTCATGATCTTACAGTTTTGTGAGTTTGAGCCCCACATCGGGCCCTGTGCTAATTGTGCAGAGTCTATTTGGGATTCTTCCTCTCTTTCTGTCCTTCCCCTGTTCGCACTCTTTGTCTCTCTCAAAATAAATAAATAAACTTAAAAAATGTTTCCAAGAAAAGAACTTTGTAAACTGTCTACCTTAATGAACATTTTTTTTTCAGCCAGTATACTTCATGGATATATTTTCTAGTAAATTAGATGAAAGAAAAGAAATACACATTAGGGTGTCCTGAGTTCTTCCTAGTCACTTTTGGCTCTGATAGGATTCTATGACTGCATGGTATATGAACTGAAGGTTTTCATTTACCCATTCTTACATTTAGCACTGAAACAACTGTGATATTATAATCAATAGGCCTATTCATGCCACCATGTTTAAATTTGAAATTACTTTTTAAATGTTACCTTTTTTTGCTATAATATTTGCTAAATTGAAAGGGTTGTTCAGATGAAAGGGACTGTTCTCTCAGTCTTGCAACATGAATATGATGTTATTTTCCTTCTGTTACAATTTCATACTTTGTATGACTTTACTCTTTTTAAATTTGTTGTGACTTGTTTAGTGGCATAATATATGGCCCATTCTGGAGAATACTCCATGTACACCTGAGAAGAATTTATATTATATTGTTGTGGAACAGAGTGTTCCACATATATCTGTTAGGTATAGTTGGTTGATAGTGTTGTACAAGCCTTATATTTCTTTTGAAATTTATATGTTGAAGTTCTCCCACCTAATCTGATGATATTTGGAGGTGGATGGTATATTGGTCTTTGAGAGGTAATTAGGTTTAGATGGAGTCATTAGGGTGGGATTCTCATGGTGGAATTAGTGCCCTTATAAGAAAAAAACAGAGCTTGCAGCGCCTGGGTGGCTCAGTTGGTTAAGTGTCTGACTTCGGCTCAGGTCATGATCTCATGGTTCTTGAGTTTAAGCCCCATGTCGGGCTTTGTGCTGACATCTCAGAGCCTTGAGCCCGTTTCAGATTCTGTGTCTCCCTCTCTCTGCCTGTCCCCCACTCATGCTCTCTCCCTCTCTCTCCCCCACAAAAATAAATATTAAAAAAAAAGAAAGAAAAAACCAGAGCTTGCACTTTCTCCACAGTGAAAGGTCACAGCAATAAGGCAGCTGTCTGCAAACCAGTGGCCAAGGAAACC